CTAATTACTTATATAATCGAGTAGGGGGCTGTATTCGCGACTAATCTACCCAAAAAAAATTTCCAATCACTTTTTTCTAAGTTTCTATGCGGCCAAGCCCACATATATAGAAATGTGAGAGCCTCTTAATAAATATATTTTTGAGATGCATTTTAAGACTTAATTTTTAAGGATATGTAATCTCTAACATGGAGAACATGAATGTAAAAAAATAAATAAAATTTAAAAAGTAGAAATAATTATTCTAGTAAGCAAACATTTGGACCGTTAGTTTCCATTGTTTTTAGATGGAACACTTGCTTGCTTCTATCTTTAAGATGGATGCTTTACACTTTCTGGACCGCATGTGTAGAAATGCGGTCCAACCCACATGAAACAATTTTTTTTCAAAAAATGAAAGAGAAACACCGAAAAATGAGGTCATTTGAAAGAGAGAGAGATTCTCCACAATAGTGAGAATGGCATTTCTTTGGTTTTTAGATTGTCCAACTTGAGATAGTGAGACAGGAATAATAATGAAAATAGAGGGTGGAGAAAGAGAGACTTTCCACGATAACAAAGAAATAGAAAAAAGAAAAAAAAAACAATACGAAGAGGATTGAGGTCAAGGCTATGTATCTGAGTTTCCATTCCTACCAATCCTAACCCCTTTCGAAAACTACAAAGGGTTTCAAATTTTGTGAACCACTACTAATTAAAAAAAAAAAAGAAAAAAAAAATCATCCACAATAGAGAGAGCAAGAGACTTATGAACCCGCTACTGATTAAAAATAAAATAAAAAGCAAAAAAACATGTCATCCACGAGAGAGAGAACAAGAGAGAAAGAGGGGGGGGACAGAGATCTTTGTTAGGGGTGGAAGTCGCCATCACAAGCCACATAAAACTAACAGTACAATTCAAGACCACATAAAAATGTATGTTGACATTTAAAAGGGGTGTAAAGAGAGAGAAAGAGAGGTGTAGAGAGACACAGAGACAAAGAGTTGGAGCTATATTATAGAAAGAAATGTAGAATAATATATTATAAAGATAGAAAGTTGAAGAACTTTAAGGAGACAAAACGGTGAGAATGATCAAAATTTGAAGACACCAAGAAAAAGGCAAGTTAAAGGATCAAATAGAATGATGTTTTCACCATCTAAAGAAAAGGATAGGTGAGCTTTGTTTTGTTCAGGGGATGTATTTCAAAGATTTCAACCTCTATCTTCTCTCCATTAATTTGAGGGAGAGAGAGTTTGTTGCATAATAACGAGCCACCGCACAGGGTTCGAGCCCGCCCAAGCCGCCCGGTCTAGCTCGGGTGACCATCTACTATTGGAAAAATTACTTTCGGTATACAAGAAAACACAATTATTACTGACTATCAAATGTGAAATCAGATTATTGGAAATATTTTATTAATAGGACATGAATTTTTTCAAATATCTCGACATACTTCAATTTCTCAAATTTCACATCTAATGGCTAAATGGTCGTCGCCTCATTTTCCTATGTACACCACATTTATTTTTTGACACAATTAAATTCCATAATAAGAAATAAGTCTTCACATTTAAGAGAGAAGGGGGGATTCAAAAAATTAAATGGTTGAGATCATTTAAAATGTCGGTGCCATTTCCTAGAGAGAGAAAATGGTTAGAGATGGAGAAGATTGTTGGAGAGAGAAGAAGCCAGACCTTGAGTTTTGTGTTGAAATAACAAAATAAAAATAGAAAATAAGAATTAACTTCAAACAAGGTACAAGGGGATTAAAGAGAAAAGAGGTCCCATTAACTTCAAACAAGGTACAAGGGGAATTCAAGAGAAAAGAGGTCCCACCGAGAGTCGAACTCGGGCTATTGGATTCAAAGTCCAATGTCCTGACCACTAGACCATGGAACCCGACTATGATACAAGGGGAAATATTAATATATTCAAATCTAGTTTTCTTTTTAAATATAAGAAAAAGCTCTCGGATCGCACTTGAGCAGGTATTCCTTTTCTATATATTTATCAACATACCATTTTAATAGCAACATCTCATTTTTCACCTCTGTTTTTTTTATTTTATCCTAGGAAAAGTTTATATAATGCTGAGGCCCTAAACAATCTAAGGCGCACCTTAAAATTCATTATAAAATGTGGTTTTGATGTTGAAAAAAACCTCAAATTGATCATCTCGAACTTGAGATGAAAAGAAATAGAATTCATATTTGGGAAATAGTGCATCTTGTAATGTATTATCTAGGCCATCAATTTTTAATAACTTAAAGTGTTTATAGATCTACTCGATCTACATTATTTTAGCAGCTTTAAATTTTATAATCAAATATAAAAATATATTTTTAGGCCATCACAAATATTTCCTCTTTTGAAAAATCATTTTTCATTATTATTTAGAGGTGCAACTTACTTTGATTGTTTAGGGCTTCAACCTTGTAGAAACCATACCCTTATACATAAATATTGGAAATTTGTCAAATTATTCATAAGATATTAACAATTTAACACCTTACTCATATAATTGGATTTAATTTCATAATACCTTTAAAATAACTCATGATCTTGAGTTGGAATAGAAGCAAAAGACATAGCATGTTTTGATAAATTTCATTTTTATTGCTTTTTATCAAAATGTAATGTAATTCTTAACTTTGGGTCTTCATTTTTTGAAGTTGAGTCTTGACTTTAGGACTTCAAGATCTGAACTTAATTTAAAAACTTAAAAGTCTGAAACATTACATAAAAGCTCTTACTTTAGACTTTAAAAGTAACGTAATTCTAAATACCAAATATTGAAAATCCCAAATTAATTATAGACAAACGATAATAACTAACATTGTCGAGAACATCAAAGGTTACTGCCGGTCCTCATACGTGTTAATTCTCTACGCACATACACCTATGAAAAGTTTTTCCTTGCTGATCTACATATCAAAATAAGGCTCAAGGTGGCCATCACAATAAGTTCAAGGGGAGGTTCTAAATAATCAAATTATAGCCCACCTCAAAAATTTCACTTGAAGTGGTTGTTTTTATGTCCAAATATCTTCAAATTGATTATCTCAATATCAAAATGCATAGACATGAGAAAAATGGATTTCAAGTTATGGAAATAGCGCATCTTGTAATACATTTTTTGATAGTCAATTTTTTAGATTTTCAAGTTTTTATGGATCGGCTCGATGTACACTATTTTTGAAGCCTTAAATTTTATAATTAAATATATAAATATATTTTAAGGCTATCACAAAGATTTCCAATATTGAAACCATATTTCTCGACCCTATTTGAAGGTGCACTCGGCTCTATACAAACCAAACCCAAAGGTTTATATAAAGTATCAAGTATCAACCTTATACAATTGAAGCAATATGCATTCTCAATGGCCCACTGACTTACAAACGTCCATCCTAAAGATGGATGTTATCTAAAGTGTATTGTCAATAATTAAGATATAGATGGTGCATAAAAAATATTAAAAAAATTACATTTTTAATTTTAAAAATTTATTTTTCTTTTCACATTTATGATAATCTTGGCGTAGGTGATGAATCTAACAAAAAAAAAAAAAAAAATGGAAAGAAATAATCTAAATCGAATTTGAGTGGGGGCTGCTTATGTACATATGAGTCAACCGACTCATAGAAACCCCATCCTTCTAAAAAATCCTCTAGAATGGAGTGCCTCGGTGTTAGAAAACTCTAAAACTAATCTCTTGTCGTTGAGATTTATGGATATGAAAATATAAGAAAACTAAAGTTAGTGCATATTGCAATAATTTATTCAGACCATCTATTTTCAAGATTTTAAGTTTTTATAGATCTACTAAATCTACATTAAACATCAAATTAGAGCCTATCTTCAAATAGTGTATAGAAATGTGGTTTCAATATTGGAAATCTTTGTGATATGTTTAAAATATATTTTCATCTTTATTTATAAAGTTTAAATCTTAAAAAATAGTGTAGATCGGCTGATCTGTAAAAACTTGAAAATCTTGAAAATTGACGATAAAAAAATGTATTGCAAAATACATTATTTTCAAAACTTGAAATCCATTTTTTTCTCATATCCATGCATTTTGATGTCGAGATGTTCAATTTGAGGATATTTGGACATCAAATAACCTCGTCTAGTGAAAATTTTGAGATAGGTTCTAATTTGATTGTTTAGAGCCTTGGCTCTATATAAATTTCTCCCTTTTTAAAAATATAAATTTCATTTCTATGTATGAAAATGGATTTACATGCTAACTTAATACTTCTGATATCAAAATTCGACGGTCAATCTGACCCGATTGCCACCCCTATACTTGTCAACCCATTTATTTATGGAAAAAGTTTATATAAGATTACAACCTTAAAATGTAGAATTACAAATGCACATAAAAAATTCATCAGAAAAGGTTGTTTTAATGTTGAAAAAAACTCTAATTGATCATCTCGACATTTAGATGTATGAATATATATAAAAAAAGATTTAAAGTCCCAAAAATAGTGCATCTTGCAATACATTATCTAGACCACCCATTTTTAAGATTTTCATATGTTTATAAATCTACTCGATTTTAATCATTTTTAGAGTTTAAAATTTTATAATTAGATATAAAAATAGATTTTGTGGTAATCTTAAATTTTTTTTTCACCAAACTTACATATTATGATAAAATTTGGCATGCACCACAAGCTTGCACCATAATTGGATTGTTTAAGATTGCAAGCTTATAAAAACCACACCTTTTATTTATACAAAAGTAGGGCTATTTTAGTAATTAGTAGTCTATCCCCCACCTGGCAGATTGGTGTACACCTCAGCAATAGAGCTTAGATGGAAGATGAATGAGCAACGAAATTCCAACCGTATTTTCCTAATTTTGAAAAACAAAAATTCCCAAAAAAAAATAAAAAAAAAGTAAAAAATAAATATATGCAGTAAAAAATTCAAAATAGAAAATAAAAAATAAAAAATAATAAAAAATCAACTCAATAAATGCCGCGTCTAACACGTTAAATCGCTGGCCCGTTTCCCTCATTTTGTTTTCCCACGCGATCGGAGAGAGAGAGTTTTAGAGAGAGAAAGTCCCTTTTTCTCTGATTTTTCGATCTCTTTCTCCCATTATCCGGCCACAAATCAAACGATCTACCCGAATTTCTCGCCGGAAAAACCAGAGCGTCCGGCGATCTTGATCACTGCTCCTACTCGCAGATTCCATCATGAATCCAGAATAGTAAGATCCGCTTTTCATCTATTTCTCCGGGTAATTAGGTTTTTTTTTATGATTGTTTGCGTATTGGTTTTTGTGATCCCTATAGATCCTGCTTGTGTTCTATTCGATGGAAAAATTCTGGCGCTAGCGGTCGTTTATTATGAGCTAGGGTTTTGAATTGCGTGGGAGATACAGGGTTGGGTTTTTCTGATGCCTTTGAGATTCTGGTTTTGTTGGATTTGATGTGTATTGGGACCCATTGTGGTGGTTTAATGCCCTCTAGATCTCGACATTGGGGGCTATTTTAGGGCTAGGTAGAAATCAGGTTCCTAGTGCCATTTAGATCTTCATTCTTCTTTGAATTATGGGGATTTTGTATGGAAGAGAAGGAATTGGGATTTTGTGCGTGTTTGGATACAGATTATGATTGGTTTAAAGCAAATTGACAGGTTTACGGCATAATTCTGAGTTTTTATGCGCTCTTAGTTCCCAATTCTGTTAGGTTTCTTTTGAAGATAGCAGGATTATGACATATTTTGGAAATTTAATCATACGTAATCCTTTTTTTATTTGGTTGTTACATTTGAATCAATATTTTTGCGCCTTTTAGATCCTGAATGTACTTAAAAGATTCCATTAGTGTTTCATGTTATTGGTTTGTTCTGTCCCTCGAAAATCCCTAATCTGTTTTCATTTTATACCAAATTTTGGGCCTGTGGCGAATTGCTGATTTTTCAGTTGCTCTTGCATCGTGGTTTCCATTTTTTGCAAAATATTTTAATGGTTAGACTGCAAATCTAACGAAATTTTAGAATTCTTTATTTCTCATTTTATTTCAAACAAAATCCTTGATGTGTTGCATAAATATGATTTTCTAGTGTCTCTCCCATCCTTTTTTTGTTTCATATCAGGGAAAGTTATTAAAGGTGGGGTGAATTCACTGGCTTTTGATGCCCATTTCTTCCTATTTTTTTCATTGCACCGAATAACATATTAGTACTAAGGCGGATACCATTTAAGCCTGGAAAAGAACCATTTAAGCCTGGAAAAGTGTAGCTTAACCATTTAAGCGAACCATTTAAGTCTGGAAACTGGAAAAGTGTAGCGTGCATCGCATCCCCTAACACAGCTAACATCCTTCTCAAAACACAGCTAACATCCTTCTTAAAAGATGGATGTTAAAAGGTTGTGGTCCCACCACCTCCGACGAATGAAAGGTCTAAAAAGAAAAACTCACAAATGTTTTGTTTTAAATTTTTTAATTCATTTTTTTTTTACATGCATGGTATAGATTCTTAACCTCTATACATTTTGGATCCAAATACATCACTAAGATGGATTTCGGTGAGAGGACTCATATAAATAGATGAGTTGGCCGACTCATAGAAACCTTGTCGTTAAGCTCTGATCTTTGATTGATACATGGTTCGATCCGGACAAACTGGATCTGCCTGGCACATGAGAGATATAATTTGTGTTCTTTCTTTGGTAGGTCCTGGGTACTTTTGTTGTGCAAGGTGTTTTGTTTTGTTCCCGTTTGCCTTTTTCTGATAAGAAAATCTTTTACGGGGCAAAATTGTGCTAGTTGTACTTGTTTTCTCCAGAGATCTTTTATGGGCAAAATCCTTTTTTTTAATTGTAGTGGTCAAATGGAGACCTTGCTTTCTAGTTTGAGATGGAAAACAGAGATGAGTGTATATGTTTGTGTGGATGATACATGTAGCTGGCTATTATTGTAATTATATGTTTATGGTTATTATGCTTTCTTGTCCGGGGTTTGTACAGTCAGTTTGTTGAATTACAATGTATTAATAGATGTGGAGTCTATGTATGTAAATTCATGCCATGGCACTTTATGGGCTCCTGTCCCAGGTGAATTTGATGCCATGTATTGAAATGGCTAAATATTATTTGTCTGATTATGTATCCATTTGTTATCCTGTATTGAAGTAATTCTTTATTATAAAATATAGAACTGTACCATCCAAATTTAAATAATATTTGTCTTAAAAATTAGGGCCATTTTGGATGGACCACTAGGTAGGATTTGCACGATTATCTACCTTTGCTCCTGTGGGAACACTACTGCAACTCATTTGTGTATCTTGCTTTCGGGACCCCGCTTTTGTAGAAAAAGCTGCCAAATAGTTGCTATTTGGTAATCGCCAGATAAAAAAAAAGAAAACTATTTACACTGTATTTATATCGTAGGAGGAAGGAAATCCCTGGAGGCATTGCATGAACCCGTCCTTAATGTTGATTTGTATTTTCTTTAAGAACTTTATTGCTGTTGAAGATAAAAAATTGGTCTCTATCCCCTAGAAACAATCCTTAAGTTGCAACTGTGACATGTTCTTGCTTATGCAACTCTAAGCTTCTAACCGATGAACACCCATGCAATCATCTGTTGACATACTGAACCTGGTCTTGAGTGTTTATTAATAGTATTTGTGTGGAATCTGTGTTTTTGACATGCTTTCCTTAATTTAATGGGATATATGGATTGCAGTTAAGAATAAATGATTTATAAGAAAAAATAATATTGTATAAGGCATCTTTCCATCTAAGAAAATTATTTTTGACATGAACACAGTAATGCTGATAATGCCATTGAGAAATGTGTCCAGCCCATGAAATTGTAATTGATTTGGATGCAATTGTATTTCGATCTTGTGTTTGGAAATTTTTTTTGGTGACTTTTATCACTTCCAATCACTACTAGGCTACATTACAATGATACAAATATGTGTGCTAGCGTCTGACATATATATGAGTGTTAAAAATTCGCATCTCAAAATTGGCATTTTAGATATGACACATCCATGCAGCATTTAGATGGGGAGGTGGGTTTTAGGTGTTAAAAACATATTATTATAATCAGATTTCAACAAGAAAGGTTAAGAAAAGTGTATTTTTTAAAGTGTATGTGTTCCTTTTTTATGTTCACATGTGCAGAAAACCATAAATATTCTTGTCCATGCTACAAAATAAGTTATCCTAAAAGATGCACATATACTTTAGCCACATGGAATATGGTGCTTTTACCCGAGAATGAAGTTTAGAACAATTTTTTCAATTGAAGGTTCTGTTTTGCTTGTTATACCATGAAAATAAGTATCATCTTCTAACGATTCGCCCCCCCCCCCCCCCTTCCCCACCAAACAAAAAAAAAAGAAAAAAAGTGAGTTATGCCACTGGTTGTGGTTTTTAATGCATGAGCAAGTTGGCTTTAAAGCTTACCACAATTTCAAGTTTTAAGCAATGCTTTAAAAAGCGCCAGGCAGCCAGGTTTGTTGGCTGTCTAGGTGTGGTGCAGCCTCCTATGTGAGTCATTTTGTGTGGTTTTTAATGCATGAGTAAGTTAGCTTTTAAGTTTATCACAATTTCATGTTTCAATCAATGCTTTAAAAAGCGTGGCCAGGGGGGTTGGCCGCCTAGGCGTGGCTAGTCAGGCTTCTCAGTTTTGAGGTGTCCCAATCATCAATAGATGTTCGTGTGTATAGTTTTGCATTTATATATAATTACATAAAATTCGTGTGTATATGTATATATTGCGAACATTAAAACTTTGATTCATAGGGATAATCTAGTTTTGAAACAGGTGAATGTTGAATTGCACTCCACTCGTGTAATATGACAAAGTGTAAATATTATTATTATTATTATTACTATTATTTTCTGGGGGCTTTTGTTTTTTTGTTTGGGGGGGGGGGGGTTGGACATTGCTTAAAAAAAAATTAAATCTAAGTTTTTTATTATTAAAAAATTTAGAATTTGGGTTTTTTGATGTTTTCTGAAACAAAAGCAGTAGAGTTCTTTTTTTCCTTTTTTTTTTTTCTTTCCTGTATGTGTGTGTGTTTTTTTTTTCTTGGGGGGGAAGGATTTTTCCATGATTCTGAGGGTGTTTCCCACCATCGAGCCGTGCCCAAGCCTAGGTGAGGTGCTTAGGCACCAGTGCCTTCTAGGTCCCTGAGCTGCGCACCGTTTTAAATTGTTGATTTTAATAATCTGTGGTAGTCTGGGAATGGCTTGTCAGGGCTGTTATTTTATATGAAATAATCTTCACAGGACCATTTTTGCCGAAACTGGTTCTTTGGTTAGTGGAAATGGGTTGGTTTGTGTTTTCACTGAGTGGTTTGTTTGTTTTTGGTCTTAGTCTTCGAAGTAGCTGCCTTGGAATTCGTGAGTGGGGAGATATGAGCCTCCTATGAGTGATGTGAGACTCTTACATTATGATCTTTGTTTTTCGAGCTTGGAAATCTGGGCGATTAGTTTCTGTATCTGCGTGCCCCAACCTTACTTTCTCCTGTCTTCTGCAGTACTTTTTCCAACGCAAGTTATGGCACTATATTGTTCTTTAGTAGTGTAATCAAGCTAAATGCTTTTTCTTTTCTTGTTTTCTATTCTCTTAACTGCTATATTTCTATTCATGACTACCTTGTTGAATACGGTCTCATGCTCTTGCATTTCCTTAATTTTTTGTCACTTTTAAAAAAAAGTCCTGTTTAAAGGATTTATCAGTTTTGCTGTGCCCTTGCACGTCCCATTTCTCCAACCATGTTTCCTTTATCCCTTATTTCCTGGTTGGTGTCATTTTCTTGTATGGATCTTAAGTTTATCTTGTTCAAATGATGTACATATGTGCAATTCTTTCTGGGGAATTTTGTGGTAGTCTTTGGATGATTTCGAAGAAAAGAAGATATGTAAATATAAGTAAGAGAAACGATGATTGAAAAAAATTATAATAGAGCTGCAGCAATTATTTGGCATTTTTTTCCTAGTGCCTTTTTACTTGGGTTGGTTAAATATTTCTATTGGTTGTGATGGGATGCAGAGTAGTCATTTTCTGTTTCTAATGTTATATCGGTGGCCATGTTCTTTTCTGTTCCCTTCTTATTTTGTGGCTTCAAATGTCTGATATTATAATGGACCATGAAAGGCATAATTTCCTGTTTATTAATTATTTTTTGTTCCTTTGTGCAGCGACTATCTGTTCAAGCTTTTGCTTATTGGAGATTCTGGTGTTGGCAAATCATGTCTTCTTCTAAGATTTGCGGTAAGAGTTGAGGTTTTCTTCCTTCTATTTTTTCCAATTTGAAAAAATATTTTGGTGCTTTACTCACATACAACCACATAACAATCTCTTGATGCGATGATGAAACTTTGTTAGGTATTTTATTAGCATTCTACTTTGGTTGGGCAAATAATTGAATCGATAAAAGATGGCAGATGTCTAGCTCTGGTGTTCCTGAGATTCGGTTCTTAATGCTGCTGGATGATGGGATTTTTTTATCATATAGCATGTAGACACCATGTTATCTGCATGTTTCGAACAGTTGGCAACATATGAGTTAGTCATCCCATGGATTTGCATGTCTTTATAGCTTTTTTTTTTGTGCGTTTGTTAGGCATCACCATTATGATTGCTGGTAATTAATATCTATTCTCAAGGCATAGTCTGTATATGAAAAGTTTTAGGCCCTTTGTGGCAGACTGAAGTTATGTAATAGGGTTCTTTTTCCCGATTTAGAATGAAATCTAGCCTACCTACTCGCCTTCTATATTTATGGGAAACAGACTTTTGTAACCCTACTTGTTAAAGAATCACAGCCAAAATGCTCATAGCATTATATAAAAACCTGTTTTTATTCATCTACAAGGAACTCCCTGCCTTTAATCGACTTGTTGGAACTCGGGACATCCAAATGGGGCCTTAATGATTGGTTGCAACCTAGGATTCCTTTTCTAGCGATAATATGAAATCTGCAAACCAGAGTAGGATGTTGAGGATCCATTGACCTTTGGATTTACAACCTGTTTTCATTAGAAGGTGTATCAGCATGCTTATGCACCACCATTAGCAATGTATCATCAACAGCATTTCCCTCCCTTAGAAAATGATGGAAAGGTAAATGGTCAAAAGGAAAAATAGTGGAAAGATGAAAGTCGGGGGACTCCTGTTATCCTGTATCTGTCATTTTATCATTACCAAGTACCAAGGTGGAGAAGCACCCCACCTACCCGATAACATCGAGGTTATTTCCTCTCACTATGATCTTCATCAATTGAGTCATTGGCTCCTTGCTTTTGCTGAAGGGGAGTCACAAGAAGCTAGGAGCCCTAAAAAGCTAGTATAGTCTCATCAACATCATTCGACATGCCCCCCTGATCTCCTCCAGACCCAAATTATCCACTGAGCTCCCTTTGAAAGTAAGCTTGAGATGTTCCATTAGTGGTCCACACCACTTTTGTTTCAGATGCTAATGGTTGTCGGCGAGACGGTCACCATCCCCCAGTTCCTTAGAGAATCGCTGGCAAGAAAATTTTGAAACTCCGGTATACCTGGGCCGTACATGATCACCTGGTCCCTAATTCAGCCCTCTAGAATGGCCCCCTTAAGCTTCTTGAGTTGCAGGGTAAGATTCTAGTGGCTTTGACATATGCTGGTTGGTTTGGACCAGGAGCCCTCAAAAAAAGTTTTGGTTGCCTTTATAGCCTCTAATGTGCTACTACATGTTTTTGTTGTAACTGATAATGATAAATTAATAATAAGAACACAAGGCTCTAAATATGCTTCTTTTGGCTCTTTGTAAGACATGGATTTCCTTTTGATGAATTGGCCAAGGGGTTGATATTGAGCTGATTATTTATGTGTTGCTATTCTAATATTTGTGGGATTAGTTAAGATTCTTGTACTGGACTGAACCTGAAAATGGATAATTGGAAATGTCTTTTTGATCATTGATCTCTTTTTTTATTTTTTATTTTATGCTCTATTATTTATGACAAGTGACAGGGAAATGATATCTTTTGTTCTTAGAGAGAGGAATTTAGTCTTAATCTTTAACTAACCCAATTTCCGTTACATAGGATGATTCTTACCTCGAGAGTTACATCAGCACAATCGGAGTTGATTTTGTAAGTGTTCCTTTCATATTGTATGTTGTGCACTGTTCATGCATTGGATTTTATATTTTTCTTTTTGTTTATTATTATCTCCTTTCAAATTGTTGTACATATTTTTATAATTCCTCTGTTATGTTCGCAGAAAATTCGCACTGTGGAGCAGGATGGGAAAACCATTAAACTACAGATTGTGAGTTCTTCTTTTCTTCACTTTATTTATAATAAACTTCTAAATTGTCTTTAATATTTTTTCCTTTTGAGAACCCAAAACATTGTACTTCCATTTTAATCTAGATTAAATCTGCGTTTCTTTGTGGAATTTGGTCAATTTTTACTTTCTTGGGTCTTATAAATTGTTTTTTGGAATTATCTGTTCCATGATCTACTGATTTCACTGTGTTTCCTTTATGAATATACTATTTTTTGACGTGTATTGGATATTAGTGGGATACTGCAGGGCAAGAACGTTTCAGAACGATTACTAGCAGCTACTATAGGGGAGCTCATGGCATTATTGTAAGTATCAACCACTATTGCTTCCTTTTCTGCTGAATGGGCCCTTGATGCTTGCCATGCTCTCAGGTTTTCCTCATGCGTATTCTTTTTTTGGTAATTTATTCAAAACCGAAATTTTTGAAAGAACATTTTTTTGTGGGGAGATTTTTTATCATGCTCCATTGGAGTATGATGTCTGGTACTTCAAAGAGACATCCACCATCCATTCCTGGTTACAGATCGTGGAATTTACCATGGGGGCTCACTAGGACATTGACCCAGCGAAGTTTAATCTTCACAATCTGTCACTTGGCAATATGAAGGGATGGTAGATGCTGTGTTGGAGTAGCGTGTAGCTCCATAGGATTATGGGGTATTCTCTGTGATTTTCAACTGAGCTACTGATATAGAATGTTAAGGGTTTGAGTTGTTAAGTAACACATACATCTTGTTCTTGTTATTATAGGTGGTTTATGATGTCACGGATCAAGAGAGCTTCAACAATGTGAAACAGTGGTTGAATGAAATCGACCGCTATGCGAGTGAGAATGTGAACAAGCTTCTTGTCGGGAACAAGTGTGATCTCACTGATAAAAAAGTGGTCTCCTACGAAACAGCCAAGGTACCGCATTTCTCTCAATCTAAATATCATTATCAATAGAAATGAAATAATGCCAGAAGCTTCCTTAGTGCTTAACACATAAAAGTTGACATTGGTATCCCTATTCAAGGTTTGTGCTTGTGTGCACGCATGCATCACTCCCTGAGTGTGCTAGCTCCCCTTTTGTGAAGTTTTTTTTTCTTTTGAATGTCCCTTTTGTGAGGTCACATGGATTATTCAGTTAAGTTCAAATTTGGTTGTCCGCGTGAATGTTGCAGGAGCATTTAGACCTTCACAATTTCTTCTTGAATTTCTCTTCTTTACATTGTTTCTCTCAGTGGATCGTGTCAAATATACTGGATAAGTGATCTATTGGACTTTTGATTTTTCTCGGGCATGCTCCTTGATTAGAGAAATCTCATTTCCTCTTGGTTTTTAAGGCATTTGCTGATGAGATTGGGATCCCCTTCATGGAGACGAGTGCAAAGAATGCGACAAATGTGGAGCAGGCCTTTATGGCAATGGCAGCTGAGATTAAAAACAGGTATGCACTTTCCCCCTTGTATTTCATTTTTTGAATGGACTTATGCAGTTCTCTCATATTGAATTTGTTTATTGATTAAAATTTGATGTAACTTAAAAATTTATTTAATTGTGTATCAATTTAGAAGAATAAAGTTTTGCACAAGAAAGGGAAATATATAGCAGCTATATCAATTTAGAAGAATAAAGTTTTGCAAAAGAAAGGGAAATATATAGCAGCTATATCAATTTAGAAGAATAAAGTTTTGCAAAAGAAAGGGAAATATATAGCAGCCCTCACTCTGGATCCTCTGAACCCCCTCTCCTTTCTCTGACCTCAACCCTGAAAGGTCAACTTTCCAAAAGAGCCATATGCAACGTAATTTCCTATTACACCCCAATAAAACAAGGCATATTTCTCTCCTTTTTTTTTGGGGGGTGAATCAGTGGGGAGAGGGCCCCTACTCTTGGTAAGAATTGAGCCTACGCTGTAGTGTTGCAAATTGTCAAGCGCTAACCAATTAAGTCCAGGCTCTTTTCCTAGGCCTATTCCTCTCTTTTGACAGGTAGGATTTATTTTTTGCCTTTTTCCTTCTGATAGGTGCCTCAGTTCCTTTAAAATTCACCTTACAAGAGTTGAAATTTTACACTTTAAGGAGGTTTCAACTCTGGCCCTGATTTTCCCTCCACATTTCTATCTTATCCCCAAGACGTAGACCCATTACTCTCCTCCTCAGTGTTAAGAAACAAGGACTCAGGTGAGGACCCGTTAGGGTCCCAAGCCTTTGTCTGACAAACTCGGCTGCATTCCAAAAAAATAATAATAAAATATTGGGAACCTGCCAGACTCAGTTGTTTTCCATGTGTTTGATTCTGGATGTGGCAGCCTGATGAGCGCAACTAGCTAGTGCCAGACTCTCCCGAGTTTTCCAACTCTCTTATCCCCTAAGGGGGAGCTTATTTCCTAGACTATCTCCTTACCGCATGGTAAATTTCTCGGGTACTCATTAGCTCCATTCCCATTCTATGAATAGCATGCCCTATTGTTCTATTAAAGCTCATCTATTCTAATGATGACAATATTGACTCGTCTAATTCTTTCTTCCTATCAAATCTGCCCAATTGGTGTTCTTTATACAAGCAAATATACATCTGGTTTTGGGATTTAGGCATGGGCTAGAATGTTTACAATGCTCAAATATGATGATTCTTTTGCTGTCGGAGCCATCATTTACCTATGTCCATGTTGCTACCCCGCTAGGAGAAAGATGAATCAATTCAGGTTCTGTAGTTAAAAATATTTAAAGCGTAATTCATTATGCAGTTGTAAGTAATTATTTGTTCCATTTTCTTTGCAGGATGGCAAGCCAACCGGCCATGAATAATGCGAGGCCCCCGACTGTTCAAATCCGAGGGCAACCAGTGGCACAAAAGAGCAGCTGCTGCTCTTAATTTGGAGGAAAAAGAGAGGGGGTAGGGTTGGGGGTGTTGGTGAGTGATTTGGGCTTTTATGTTTCCTCCTCCACAGTGGGTATGTAAAACTAATTAGCTTTGTTATTTTCTCTCCTGGAGTGTGAGAGAGAGACAACCCCTTTGGTTGGTTTCCCTTTCGATGTTCTTTGAAACTGTTATCAGCATTCCCATTCTTTTAGAAACTTAGAAAACTGTTCTATTTGGTGGAAAATTGGCTTGTAATATCCAGGAATGTCTTAATTCACTGTTGTTCAACGGCCAGCTTATGCTGTTTCAGTTTTTGAAACAGTTAATGCATCTCTCTCCTCTCGCCTCCTCTCTCTCTCTCTCTCGTCTTTGTTAAAATAGTTTTGGGAAAAGTTTATAGAAGGATGAGGCCCTAAACAATAAAAAAAGTTGCACCTCAACAATTCATTAGAAGCATTGGTTCGATGCCTAAAGATCCTCAAATCGATTTTCTCAACCCCGAGATGTATGAACATGAGAAAAAATGAATTCCAATTCTTGAAAATAGGGCATCTTATAATACATTTTCTTGATTATCAATTTTCAAGATTTTTTAGTGGTCATATATTTGATTGATTTGTACTATTTTTGAAGTCATAAATTCTACAATTAGAAATAAAAATAAGTTTTCAGTCATGGCAAAGATTTCAGGGTCCTAAATATCTTTCAATACTATTTGAAAGTGTGCTTTATTTGATTGTTTAGGGCTTCAGCTTTGTACACACCACTCCTGTTATAAATTAGAACCATTAAGCTCTCTCTCTGTGTGGCTAGTTAGGGATTCTAGCATAAAACTATATCAGGAAGAGGAATGGTGTCGTAATTCCTTAGTTCTCCCCTCTTCAAGAAAAATTTGACGAATATGAGATCACTAAGGGACCGTTTGTATTTCCTTCTGAGGAGCCTATGCCAGCTATATGGCCGATGACATCAGTTTTAGGTACGAGTGTTTTAAAATCTGGGGATTTTGGATCTAGATCATCGTTCCGCAGAGGAATTGGTCAAGATTGAATTGGCTTTGTGATGGTATGGGTTTTACCTGATTCCTCCATAAAACCCTCCCTTTATTATTATTATTTTTTAAAGCTTGTCTAGTGTTTTTTATGGTCTCCTATAAATCTCCACCCATATAAATCCCAAATGTTATTTTCAGTTTTTTATTTATTTTTTAATGGTTTTCGAAACATTGATTTGGACCAATCTGGACCCGAATCAGATTAGCGATCCAACGATCTGAAATCAATTTGTAGGTGAACGATCCGCTAAGGTTTTAAAGCACTGAATGTCAGGCATGATGAATGAAATGCCTCAAGCAAACTGTGGTGCATATCTAATGTTTATGAATTGGTATACTAGCGTGAAAGATGTGGAATTCAGAAACTTGGCAAGGTTTTAAGTCCCATAACTTCAGGCTGTTAAATATGTTTTGCGAAATTTGATAACAAATGTATAAATTACCGTGCTCAGATGGTCAGGGGTGTGTAAATAACCGTGTTTAGTCCAATTTTATAGATTTTTTGAATTTTGCAACACACTCATTGCCAACAGGTTTCACATCTTGCGGTCAGGAGTGGTTATGAACAAGTCATCCTTGTATCATAAATAAAAATGATCTTATAGTTTGACTCCTTTAAAATAAAGGGAGAGGTGAGGGTTTTTGGTGATATTAAAGGGACTAGATTTAAGGAGTATCATGTTTTTAGTATTATCTATATGTGCCAAAAACCATAGCAGTATTTCCATGCTACACATGCAAAAGAGAGAACGCAGAGAAAGAGAGAGTACTGCTCAAAAGAAACACATGAAACTTGCAATAGCAATCACTTTCTAAACCAATTTTTTTGGTGCTTTCTAATTCACCAGTAATCTCCACAAGAGCATCTCCCCTTTGCAAAATGGTGGAACCTAATAGTGTCCCTCACAATTATCTCCCTACCACTAACCTCAGACATATATTTGGTGGCATTGTGGCAATCACCACAAACCCTAAGGTTCTTAAAAACCCTTATCGTTTCCCCCTCAGGGGTACTTATCAATCCAAAAGCTATAGCCAATCTCTCACTATGGTGGCTCAATATCACCTCCTTTTGGTCTTCACCCACATCATGCAAAGCAAAACTAAGGTCAGGAACATATCCCTTCATCCTCATTTCTTTCTCCAACTCCTCTAACTTCTCATGGATCAAACCCAGTTGTGGGTGCAATCTGTCCCCTGACCTAAACTCATGCACTTTGCTCTTGACCTCTATCCAACTATAGCCAGGGCTCTTGATTACCAAATTGTCCTTCATCTCCTGTCGGACTCTCGAGACCTGGTCCCATTGGCCGAAAGTCGCATACACGTTGGCCAATTGCACGTAGGCCGCTGAGCTTGTGGGGTCCACCTCAACAAGCTTTTGAGATGCAAATTTCGCGAGCTCGGTGTTCTTGTGGACTCTACAGGCACCTAAGAGGGTCCCCCATATAGCCGGGTGAGGCTCGTAAGGCATGTAGTTAATCAAGTCCAGTGCCTTTGTCAAGAGCCCGGCTCTTCCTAGGAGGTCCACTAAGCACGTGTAATGATCGGGCCTGGGTTCGATTCCATGGACGCTCGACATGGCCTCGAAGAGCTCAATTCCCCTCTCCGTGAGCCCAGCATGGTTACAAGCCGAGAGCACACCAATAAAGCTTATATCATCTGGTTTCAATCCTTCTCTGCCCATCTCTTCGAACAATTCGAGTGCCTTTTTTCCATGTCCATGCAAGGCATAGCCCGAGATCATCGCGTTCCATGAAACAATATCTCTTTTCGGTGTTTGATCAAAAACCTGATTTGCTTCGTCCAAACTGCCACATTTGCTATACATGCTTAGCAATGAGGTACAGACTGTGGTGTCAAAAGACCATGGAAGCTTAATTATCAACTGATGAATTTGTTTCCCCAATTTTAAGTTGGCCAAAGCTCCACAACCTGCTAAGCCACTACTGAAACTAGATTGGTTTGGGCTAAGGCCTTGAAATACCATTTTACTGAAGAGTTTCAAGGCTTCTTCGGCAATGTTATTGTATATATAGCCAGCCATCATAGCATTCCAAGTGATTATGTTTGATTCGATGGCTTCTTCGAACATGGATTGGGCCTCCATGACTCGCCCATATCGCATGTACCCGCTTATCATTGTGGTTAGAGAGATGACGTCTCGCTCTGGTGCTGATTTGAATAGCCTCGTTGCCTCGTCCAAATCACTGTTTTGGATGTACCCACTAATCATCGAATTCCACGAGACTACATTCTTATTAGGCATGGCGTCAAAGAGCCTTCGAGCCTTGACCATGTCTCCCTTTTGCTTGAACCCCGCGATCATTGTGTTCCATGAGACTGTGTCCTTGAGAGGCATTTCAGTGAAAAGGTGCAATGCCCTATCAATGTCTCGGTTTCGGAGGTGACAAGTGATCATGGTGTTGTATGTGACCATGTCCTTTTCTGGAATTCCTTCGAAGAATTCAAGGGCATCTTTGATATGGCCTAGTCTGGCATAGCCTCCTAGCATTGCATTATAAGTCACAGTGGTTTTAAATGACATATTATCAAACACCTGCCGTGCCAAATCTAAGTCACCTTCGCGAATGTGGGCAGTGATCGATTTGTTCGAATTGAGCACATCACGGAATCGCGAGTTTTCGCGATGCTGTCGGGGTTTCTCGAAGACTTTGAGAGAGAAATCCATTAGGTGTTTGGTGGTGTTTGAGTTTTCTTGATTGGTGTTGTTGGGTATCTCTTGCAATTCATGGAAGTGTTGGTGATAAGTAGAGAGAGCATTGGAGGCATGGGAGATAGAGAGAGGCCCTCTTTTGGAGAGGACATGAAATGTCTGGAGGAAGAGTTTGGTCTCACTCTTAGTCATGGACTATTGCTGTGATTTCCATGAATTTCTCACTCTTCTTGTTGGAATTGAAGAGAGAGAGAGAGAGAGAGAGAGAGAGAGAGAATGAATGGGGGAGAGGGACAGAGAGCACTCTCTCAACTATGGTAGAGAGAGAGCCATTGAGGGAATAAGAGCTTTCTTATGGGTATTTTGAAAACTTGGTTCTAGTGAAAAGGAGGTCTTTTTATTGGTGGTCTCGTGCCAAAATATTTGCTTTCTAGAGAGATAGAGAGAAGCAATGGAAAGCCTGAAAGGTGGAGAAAGAGCGTCCCTGAACCAGGAGAGGGTCTGCAAGCGATGCAAGAAAACGTTCACTCAGTCTTCAAATTCTCCTTCTTCCTGTAGATTTCACCCATCTTTCTTTGTTTCTCGAAGGCATGACGACCAGAAAAGGTGAAGACACTCTCTCTCTGCATTTCTCATCGTTTTATCTCCTTCTCTCTCTCATCTCCACACTGGTTGTTTGCATTTGAGTGTTATATGGTTCCAATTGATAAAGATCATTGTTTATTTTTTTTTTTGGGAGTAATTTCAATTACTTTCTTTAAAAAATAAAAAATAAAAAAATTCAGCTCCTCTCTTTTAAAGAAAAAATAAAAAATAAAAAAATTCAGCTCCTCCCTTTTATGAATCATTTAGATTTTCAGCAATCAAAGAAAGAAAAATCTTCAGATTTTTTGTTAAAAATAAGCGTTCAATGTAATTTCTCTTCCCCCCCCCCCATCGTAATGGGATTTCAGCTTAATTTCTTTCATTTCAAGACCTAGGGTTTTTTTCCGAATTAGATATCATCATCATCATCCCAGCTTTATCTCGATTTTCCCAATTAGATATAATCTTATTTTTCTTTTTCAATATAGAACACTGCAAAGAAAATTATTGACATTGCCCCCATCCGTTATCTACAAGTTTTTTCACTGAACTTGAATTTTCAGCTAAAACCCATAATGAAATGCATGTGACATTCTGTTCTTGCTATCACTACAAGTTCTTTTCTTAGAGAAAAAAATTATGTTGGTCACAACAAGAACCAACCTTATCAAAAACGGATCAAGCAACCCTTAAGGGTTTTGTATAGAGCATCCACAGTAATGGGGATTACTTATTTTTGTATCTACCCATAATCATGTACTCTCTTAAATTATTAATATATAATAGTGAACTTCATAAAACAAATAGTAATGAACCATCATTATCATCATAGTGGCTTATCTCAATTATTTGAGGTCTCTCTATATATCCAATTATGTCATTACGCTCTATTAAGGGCCGTACCATTAGTCAAATCATAGGTTACTATGTCTCTTTCACTCCTTCTATCCTATTAAAACCTTTTTTCAACTAATTGTGGTCGGCTCGGCAAAAGTCAAATATTTTCTCAAAACATAAAGTACTATATTTTCTATATCCATAGCTTGAATGCTGTTATGTTTCTCTTGTTTTCTTTGCTAATGCGTTTTTTTTTGTCTCCTCAAATGACAATGAGTGATATGAATACCAGGCTTTTAAGTTATTGCTTTTTTTTTCTAGCAAACTTTATGAAACGCCAAAAAACCCCCTTCTTTTTTATTTATTTATTATCAGCTGAGCGATTATTTAAGTCCAAGATATTTATATATTGCTATTTGCTTCTTCAGTTTTCTTAGTCAATTATTATAAACTTGAATAAAAAAAAAATCATTAGATTGTTACTGTAGATCTTTTGTTCACTCATATTCTTCAGTAAACAGTCTTATGATCTTTGTTTCATTTTATCCTCAGTTATGATATACAGTACCATTGTTGGAATTTTTAGTTTGGGTGACAAAAATCTGCATTCGGATTGATGGTCATTATTAGAAAACACAAATGCCCGCTAAGTTTTGTTTATGTAGAAATATAAATGTAGATACATTCAGACACATATATACAACACTATTTGATCTGGAGAGAAAGATGTTCGGAAATCCCAAAGCTAGCATTCTGGAAGGAAGAAAATCCCAATAAACTCGATCATATGCACTACTTAAATCCACTTGCAAGCGCATCTTTGGATTTTTAGAGTATCTATAGCAAAGAGACTTTGCGATATGGTTAGCTGAGCACTAATAAAGAATTCTCAGGGAATTTCAAGAAATCATGTTATGCGTTCGTTCCAGCTTTCAATGCTCTTTTCCAGGTTCATCGATATTGAATTAATCGAACTAACTTTTAACAATTAATCAACTTTTCGAAGACCTTGAGTGATATCACCAGTCTATATTAATACATGTATGCAGCTAGTTTATAGGAAACATTTTTCTCTCCCTACACATATAATTTATATATGTCTGGGGATACGCAACCATCCACTTTTGATTGAATGGCTGAGAGTGAGTTGGAAACATCATCACTGGTCAGCTTCAATTAATGTTTGTTAGTCCATAATTGATGTGTGCCATTATTATTGGCTACCTCTCAACTATCAAATCCCATTCGAGTTCGGACAACTGGACGTCCTTAAACACATATAATGATATGCCTCTGGATAGAGTGCTCACCGTTATTTATTAGCCAGTGATGTTTATATGAATCTGTGAAGGGTTAAGATGAAGAGAGCCACAATGCTTAAAACTTTAATTTGAGGGAATTTGCATGTACCACCAACATGTCCAGATGACTTGGATTCATCAGTAATGGACCGAACTGTCTCTTGACGTTCTGAACCCAACTGACGTACCGCTTTAATGGGTGAACAACCCAACCTTTGGAACGTACTACCGCTTCAGGTGGCCAAGAGCCGACATCAGGGTGCCATCAATGTGAACTTTTGGGGAAGATCAGCCTGTTTTGCATATTTACACCTTTATACTGATTTATATTGAATATGAATTGAAAAAATCTGAAAGGAAGTGCGGAATCTCTTTTCTTTTACTCATTTGTTTGTTGTTAATGGCCCCTCATGCCAGACCATTATTTAGATCACAGTGTCTAGTTAATTTTTTTCCTCCCTGGTTATTGATTCTGGTTTCTTGTGTATTTAGGTAGGGCTCTTACTCTCTCTCTCTCTCTCATGTGTGTGTACACAGATACTACGAACTGGGGCCTGATGATCCTCCATATGCTGCCAAGTTTTACGACTGTTGTGGCGCGGAGGACCCGGAAGCATTTGGCTGCAAAACTGATTACCATGTGTCATATGATGATTAATTGGTTCTCTCACTAAGCTCTAAACTGTGAGCTTCAGTTGCTTGTATGTATGTGAAAATAGAGTTTCGGTTAAAAAGACAGTTTATATAGTGTGATTTGGGGTTTGGTGTAAAAAGATCACAATCGCTTCTATCTGTTAGATGTGAAATCATATGGTCGAGGGTGTGTTATTGGTGGCATACAAGGTTCAAGAAATTCTTTGCAGGAGTGTGGAGAAATGGCACATCAGCTGTTATGTAGTTGTTTCTCTCTGGCAAATAAATGTGGTCTATTGTAGAGCAGTCATGGCTGCATGCTGCATCTTAAGGCATCTCTGTATACAACACAGAGAGAGAGAGAGAGAGAGAGAGAGAGAGACGTTGTTTGTATACTAGTAGGACGATAATAAACTAAAAAACTAAACAAGAAGTACGACGCGTGTAGTTAACTACCTACCTAACAAACTAAACAAAAGAAATAACTAAAC